CATAATGTCCCCATGTTGCTTATGTCATTTTTAAAATCCTGTTAATACTTCCCTTTTAAAAAAAACATTACATCATGTGGACAAATCGAGCGCTTTGAGTTTCTCTGACATTGCAGTGAGTGCATTGTTTAAAAAAAAAAAAGAGAGAGAGAGAGAATGCAAGTCTCTCATATGTAAGGTAAATTCAGCTGGCGTACCTGCAGTGCACATATACTTGTGAATTTAAAGACTTCTGATGCAAGAACCTCTAATTGCCGTCTGAAATTTTCTTTAAAATTAGTTTTTTTTAAATTAGGCTTGTCGTAGGTTCACTAGTTTTAATTTCATGAAAAAAAAAAAAAGTTTTTTATGGGCTTTAAAACAAAATAACTTGACATGAACATACAGTAGGAGTCTGAGAAAAAATGCTATTTTTCTATGGGAATTTTTGTTTCCCAGTGATGGGTTGCGGCTGGAAGGGCATCTACTGCGTAAAACATATCCTGGATAAAGGCGTCCTACACACCACGACGTTTTTTGTTTGCGTTTATCGTCAGCGTTTTATGAGACGTTTTTCAGTATTCAAACCCAAGCGCTTTGCACTGGCGTCAAACAGATGAGTGTGCTAAATCACCCTTTTGACGTTAGATGGCGCTGCACAAAGTATAAGCTTCTGACACCCGCTTATAACACAGAAGAAGTGGAGGAGCGGAAGTTCACAGTCACATGCATGTTGTTAAACTTATTGACGCCCTTTATTTAGTTACGAGGCGTTAAGCCTGATTTATACTTCTGCGTCAAGTGACCGGCGTAACCCAAGGCGGATGTGCATTTATACTTCTGCGCTGTCTCTGTTGGTCTGCATTAACACTTCCGAAACGCTAGTTGGCAGTGAGGTGTAAATGTTCCTCTGTCTCGAGTTTCTTCGCTGCTTTTTTGCTTTTCCTGAACACTTCCGGGATGTACAAGTGGCTCAAACTCGCTCATTTTGAGGCAGCAACCGGCGGACATGCAGCAACTTTAACTATGAGGTAAACACAAAACAAAACTTTCCATCCGGAGCTCCTTCATAGGACTCCACACTTGTAAACAATCACTACATTGGGTTCGCGCCATTCGCACGGCTCTCGGTCCCGCCCCGACTCGTCAGTGCTACCAAGCCGACCAATCACAGAGCTTGCGCTACGCGTCGTTGCGACGTGTAGCTACATTTTTTTAAGAGGTGCACGTCAGTGACGGCGACGGCCACGGCGAAGGGCTATGCGTCAGCGCCGTAGCATACGCCGGCGTTTGACGCAGAAGTATAAATCAGCCTTTAACCGTTGACGGAAAACGTGAGCAAAAAAATGCCTTAAGTTGGCATTTCATTCCGCTGTAGCAACTCCTGATTAATAAAGGGACTCAGCCGAAAAGAAAATGAATGACTGGGAATTTCAGACAGCACTAGCATCTGAACTTCCTTTCCCCGCGACCAACAACGGAATCTGGATTACTATTGACTAGTCAGCTATAAGCTGTTAACCTTGGAATATACAGATTATAAAATTATTCAGCTCCAACCTGACGAGACATATGGTGTGTTTATTTGTATCTTTAAGTTATGTTAATTGGGAAATCTGTTTATATTTTGATATTGTTTAATGCATGTTTAAGCATTGTGTCTTATCACATTTACTGAGTGCAAACACAGATACAGGGACACTTAAGTGTTTTAAAGCCAGGAAGATCAGTGGATTCATCAGTAGATCGATCGTATGTCAGCTCAGCGGCTCTTCTTGACATCCGATCCTTTCAGAAAAGGACAAACACAAGAGTGAAGTGCGAAAAAACAAAGGAACAAATGATTCTTTCAGCAACCCAGAAGATGAACAAACTGACGTGTTTAACTGTTATCATTGCCTTTTGGACTGTTATGAACTAGAATGACAGAATTACTTTTTAACAGAGGTTACATGTGCTGGTGAAGATTAAAGATACAGATGAGAGGTTACTGTGGGCTATGTTGCGTGTTGTTTTTGAACCCAAGTAAGGACTAAATGTATGCTGTGTGCAGTTTTTCTATAATTGGTAACGTATTGGAGACTGTAAGGGGCTGTATGTGTTCAGGGTGCATTTATTTAATTATTTTATAGAATTGCAGACATTTATCTGCCGTTTTAATCAAATCTTGTTATAAAGCATTTGTTTTTTGAGAAGTGCTTCTCAAATGTTATGTGAACAACCCGTACAGCTTTTATTTTGACATTTCCTCAAGCAAGAATGGCATTGACTGAAACTTTCTGCCGTACACCCACCTAAAGGGACATCCAGTCATTGAGTGATGTCAGTCAGCTGTGAAACTTATTACCACAATAAGCGGTCAGGGAACCAGAGCAAATTACAGTGTCTGACATCATTCTTGAAAGATCACACACCTCTTTAACTTTATTTTTAGATATCTGACTTATGTGGCCAGACATCATTACCACTGACATGGATTATTATCTTACTGAATTTATGTTTATATTCAATCTGCACTTTTCAATGTGGCATAGTATCAAAGAGCATAGAATGACCAAGAGTTTACACTCAATAGAACGTTCAATTGCAACAGCAGCGCTCAGCAACAGCCCCGGATTCCGCCATTTTGGAGTGAAAGCGATCGAATGTCCATAGGATCTTATTGCTGTCACGATGGCAAGCAACTGCTTTGTTTTTATTTATTTATTTAAAAAGCGCATTAAAGCTGAGATACAACCTGAAAGATGACAATACAGCACTTATTATGTCAATCATCATAAATTTTTATTGTTTATTTTTCAGACATCTAAAATGCTGTTGTTCTATTGGAATTCTCATTCCAAAATGGCTGCCACGCCATCTAGTGGCTGTTTCCCAAATTGCACTAGAGTGTTGCCTCTTGGTGATTCTATGGTTGAGCCCCCTTTCCCCCTCGCCTGCACTCAAACTGCAGGTTTACCTTCTGAGCCCAAGTATGCTTATGCCATTGATGAGGCGACTGTTCTGTCAGAAATAGAAGTGCTCTTGCTCCCTACAATGGAGATTGCTTTAGGTTTGTTGAAAGTACCAGCTGATGTGCAGTGAGGGGTTTGCATGTTTGATGAACTATTACAGCTCGCATTCATTAAAAAGTAAGAATTTTAATGAATCCATATGAAATAGTACTTTAAAAGTGCGTGTTCATTTTCGTGCTCTGGGCAAGGCACACTTTTGCACTCTTACTACATGTGTACCGCGCCAAAGCCCAACCAAAGCATGCTTTGGCACACCTCTTCTAACCCGGCCAGGGCCGGCCAACTAAACTGTGCCTGTGCACAATTCTAAGCACTCACACTTGTCAAACGAACTGTGGAATGGGGTCAAACGTGCACAGGCACGGTTCGGATAGCCTAGTGTGAGTACACCCCTAGTGCCCTTTAAAGGGCCGCAAAACTGTTTTAGCAGGGTGTTTTCACACCTCTAGTTTGGAAAACGTCAGGCAAGTGGGTGTGTCCAGCTCTGTTTAGGTGGAAGTGTAGGGGGAGGGAAAGAGGGAATGTTTTGCGTAAAAAATGGGAATTTCCGTTTGGGCACGTGCTGATTTTCACAGGCAAAATAAACACACGGACACAGGGGAGAAAGACTTGACTGTGTTTACATGGACATCAGTAATTGAATTATTTGCCAAATTAATTTGTGAACTTTAACTGCAGTTTGGCACTTTCATTCAGGAACATTTTATGCATGCCCACCGTTAGGGCTGTGCAATTGATCGAAAATCCGATTTCGATTTTGGCTTATAATGATTATAAAAAAACATTAATCGAGATAAACAATTATTCCATTATTTACCTCCCCTTTTTCAGTTGTAAACATTTGTTGCTCTTAAAAGCGCAAACATCACCGCATGCTCCTGTTGGTGTGTGCGGCGAGCACACAGCCAGAAGCATGTGGTCATTATTCGGTCTCATTCGCACATTGGGCCGAGCAGAGCATCTAAAGTCTTCTTAATATGAGTGTTTTAATGGTCAAATAGGTGTCAAAACGCAGTGTTTAGTGATTATTCATCCAATCGTTTAATTGAATTCATTCAATCGTTTTGAATAAATGTGATTACAATTATGACCAAAATAATCGTGATTGTGATTTTTCCCAAAATCGAGCAGCCCTACCCACCGTGACAAACAAGGTATAGCATACAAGGAACTGCTGGAAGAGTGCAGCTTTAATAAAATGTTTGATACCGCACGGCGAATGAGAAAAAAACCCTCTGCTTTTCTCTGTAACTTAGATGCACTCGGTAGGTAGCGTCAGAAAGCCGTGTGTGTATAACGATAGACTATTCTGTCACAGAATGTGCAAAAATTCCAAACAATTCACCTTTTTCCACTTGTTTTGGCCACGCAATGTGGCGTCTCTCTGCCATCTGAACACTGTAACAGGTAAAAAGCAGTTTTCGTGTGCGCGAAAGTCTTCAAAAGCGATCATGCATACTAATGAAGTTGCATCTCTTGCACAATAGAGCGCGCTGATTGGTTTGGATCAAGCCTTTCTCATGAATTAATCCTACACACTCAGAAACGTCACAAAGTACTCCCAGGGACAGACATCCACTCTCTACACTGGAATGCACCCAAGGATTTAATCAGCGTGCACACCTTCAAAAATTTGTTCCAAACGGAAGAGCAAATTTGTTCGAAATAACGCAGAAACAACCAATTTTCACTTTTTTGTGAAATATATGTGTCCTAATAGTGTTTATAGCAGCGTGAGAAACATTTATGACTGTCAACAGCTCAAAAAATGTGTTTTGGTGTTTCGCGACCTTTTTACTTTTATCTTTTTCCTCCAGGCTCCTAGTCTCTCACTGTAACATATTTGCCATCTAGTGGTTATAGTTTCAAGAGTAACAGCATGATCAATTGCTGTTATCACAGTAAAGAAGCTTTTTTTTGTCTAAAATAGCAATACCTTGGCAGTTTGATGTGAACTTAAATTACCTTTTTTTCATTCATTCTTCTCTGTTTCTTTTTATACTCCAGGTGCTGGGCATCCAATGAAACCTCATAGACTATCACTCACACATAGTCTTGTACTTCATTATGGACTATACAAGAAGATGATGGTAGGAAAAACTCTGCTTAGAAATCTTTTTTTTTTTTAGTCCAATCTCTTTTCTCTTTTGAAATAATTATCGTCCTTATGAGCAAGCATTTCTTTTCAGGTTTTCAAACCCTACAAGGCATCCCAGCATGACATGTGCAGGTTCCACTCTGAGGATTACATAGACTTTCTGCAGAAGGTCAGTCCAAACAACATGCAGGGCTTCACAAAGAGTCTCAACACTTTCAATGTAGGAGATGACTGGTAAGTTTCCTTCCATTTATAAAAAATGCTTTTAAAATAAATATTTAAAGTAACAGTTTAACACCTCATAGTATATGTCAGTCTTTTTAAACATTGATTGAGTTTTTGGTTAAGAAAGTAGCAACTCTATTTGATATAATATGTAGTTATGCTTTAAAACATTAGATTAAATAAGAGTTTTCTAATAATCAGGTTTTTTTTTGTTTGTTCTTAGTCCTGTCTTTCCAGGTCTGTTTGAGTTTTGTTCAAGATACACAGGTGCCTCATTACAAGGAGCAACTCAGTTAAACCACAAGGTTTGTAGAGAGTAGAAATGTTGCCCTTACACATTCATTGTAAACAAATTTCTTTAAATCTGACAAAAATTTAATAAACAGCATTTGCATAATAATGTGGGGAAAATAATGGCAGATTTAATAACATGACCTTTTTACACAATTGTTTTCTGTTGGCCAGATTCACTCTTCTTTTGATCCTGTTTTGTATCTGTATCTATATTACAGAATAATAAAAAAAGTGCCATAAAAAGATTAAGTGGCTTTTTAAGAACCATGCTGCCCAAGCCATTGTGCTTTTCTGATGTGCTGCGATCTACTTGTTTTTCACTGTTAAATTTAGCTTTTTCTGGGACTTGCTCAGTAAGGATCACATGCCTGATTGAGTTCATATCCACATCCCCATAACGAAATTAAGAAAAGAAAAAAAGTTATATGGATTACAATTTATATAGAATAATATGGTTTAAAATTTTTACTTACAAATCCAACATACAGAGTTAAAAAAAGACCTTATTTGGTAACTTCTTTGGTAAAATCTTGAAATGTTTTTGAATTCTGGCATTGTTTCAATAAATATTAATTCAACTGTTTATTGCATAGATTTGTGACATTGCTATAAACTGGGCGGGAGGTTTACATCATGCAAAAAAGTTTGAGGTAAGCTTTTCATTTTAATAAAACAAAAGTTCAAGAAAAAAAAACACTCTATGATTAGCATCAATTATTAATAGTAGTGTTTGATTTACATTGTAAAATTTTAGTAAGCACATGCTGTGCAATTGAAAGTTTTTATAAATCCATTTTTTTTCCAGGCATCTGGATTTTGTTATGTGAACGACATTGTCATCAGTATTCTTGAACTCCTGAAGTAAGTGAGAGATGGAAAAAGGATATCACATCACATAGGTGTAGATTTTGCTGATGTTTTGCTTTTCTGAGTTACGGATCTAACAATACCACACCAAGACCATTTTAATTAATTTGGTTCTCAGTATTGGAGCCAATGTACAGTTTGGTTTGGCTCTGTTTGCTTTAAAAGCAGGATTCATGGTGTGGCACCAGCAATGTTAAAGAACACTAGATTCACATTTACCCTAACTTTAAACACTGGAATTTTTTAGAGCAATTGAGTGATCTAGGTAAACTAAAAGACTTTCATTCATTCATTAATTTTCCTTTCGGCTTAGTCCCTTTATTAATCAGGGATCACCACAGCGGAATGAACCACCAACTTATCCAGCATATGTTTTATGCAGTGAATGCCCTTTATGCAGCCGAACCCATTATTGGGAAACATCCATACACTATTATTTATTCACACATATACACTACTGACAATTTAGCTTACCCAATTCACCTATAGCACATGTCTTTGTACTGTGGGGGAAACCAGAGCACCCGGAGGAAACCCACGCAAACACAGGGAGAACATGCAAACTCCACACAGAAATGCTAACTGACCCAGCCGAGGCTCGAACCAGCAAGCTTCTTGCTGTGAGGTAACAGCGCTACCCACCGTGCCACCCACTAAAAGATGGGCTTTTCCATTTGACAGCAGCAAAGGTCAACTTGCTTCATTTCTCACATGAGTTTTTTGTTCAGTAACCAAACAGAAGGTGCTGCAGATCCGTTTTAGTTTGAAATCTGCTAGGTTGGGTTTCAGACTTTTGATAATGATGCCATGGCTGTGAACAATCACTTACTAGCGTCTTCTGGATCATTCTGTTTTCTTAATCAAGCTCCTTCTATATGACCATTACAGAGCATTTAGTTGATTTTGAGACTTAATCCTCACTTACCTTTAAAAATGACTGGTGGAAGCGATGGGTGGTAGTAGATAGTGCTGGGAGGTGTGGGGAGATATAGTATGCTATGGAACTACTGGAATGTACTGTCCTGGGTGTATTGTGGTTTTCAGTTTTGGTTTGAATATTGTAATATTCCTGTGCAGGGTCAAAAACTGGTTTGTAATTAACTATTTTAGCCCGTTAATATTAATACAGTGGTGGCTCATTGAACATCTGATTGACCTGAAAACATTGACATTTTTTGCCTCCAAAACCTGGTTATATTTCATAATGTTCCAAAAGTCTGTAGATGGTTCTTGTAAGCACAACATTGGAGTGAGCTGTACTGTTTTATCAACTTTTAACTGTGACAGTGGCACTTTTAAATTTTGATGGCTTTAATTTTTTTCAGTCTGCATAATTTATGTAAATGTTAAAAGTCTTAAATGTGCTAGTGGTTAGATTTTGGATAAAGTGGTTAAAAATGCAGTTGTGTTGATTTCATAAATTTTTTTTCCTAATAAATAGTTTTTATTAGGAATTATTTAAATTCATTATTATTATTATTATTGTTGTTTTTATCATTTAGCTTTCACATAAAGTGAGAACTCTGCTGGACTAAAAATAATTATTACAAAGCATTTTAGGTTTTAGTTTCATCTAAGTAAAACCAGAAGTTTGGTTTGGCCTATGACTTATCTATGCATTTTTGCTGTTTATCTCTGATAGGTATCATCCACGTGTGCTCTACATTGACATTGATATTCATCATGGGGATGGTGTACAGGAAGCATTTTATCTCACAGACAGGGTCATGACAGTGTCCTTCCACAAATATGGGAACTATTTTTTCCCGGGAACTGGTATGTTCTCATTGCCCAATAAAAATTATTGACCATGTCAGTCATATTGTTTTAGGTACTGTTACTACTACATACAAATCTATTGTTTTCATTAAATAGCTTAAACATTGTTACATGAATCTTCTAGACTAAACAATGTTATCTTTACAAATTTACTGAGTGGCATTAAACAGTTTGAATAATAGATTCATTTCTTTTGTTTTATGTTAAGGTGACATGTATGAAGTGGGGGCTGAGAGCGGCCGCTATTACTGCTTGAATGTCCCTCTGCGAGATGGCATTGATGACCAGAGTAAGTTTTTGAATCTATTTAAAGTTTATAAATTGCATTGTAAAGGTATTATTCAACCGTATACTCTATCAAATGCAATAGCTGTTCATCTGAGATAATTAAATATTAAGGTTTGCATGTTCACTGAAATATATTTATTTTCTCCAAAAACGCTCAACAATGTGCACTTGAGTCAAACGTTCTCCATTGCTCTACGCCTTGTCACACTGCTGCCATTTTAAAAGAAATGCAGTAATCTTATTTAAAATAAATGATAAAAGAGGTTGCCTATTGGAAAAAATGCTTTGGCTCTAAAGTCAGGTGGACACAGTGCAATTTTAGTTTTTTGTGCAAGTTAGTGTTGTCCAAAATATTGATATTTTGATACATTGATACTGGCTTTGCTCTCTGTGCACACCAGCACAAGATTAGATTAAGGCACGACAAAGCCCCTTCTCCTCAGGAACCAGTGTCAAGATGGCATGTGCTGAAAAGTTCCTCCCAGTTTTGATTGTAAATCAGTGACGGTTGCTTAGCAATGACAGATGGACAACATCCTAAAAAGTCAAAAATCATCTTAAGCAAAATTTATTGCCTTGTTAATATCCAAAGATTCTGCACTACTACCATTTTTATCCCTCATTTTTGAAAGCTTAAGTTAAATGACAGAAATTTTAAAAGAGAACGATACACATTTTAATCATCATGATTCCATTAAAAATAATTCTTTGCCAAGGTCTAATCTTCCAAGATCTTTATACAAACAATACTGAATCCATGGCGTACCATCATCAGAGTACAGTTTTTTTGCAGTTCTTCTAGTCTCATTGTGGTAATTTTTGATTCAGTGTGTATTTGAAGCAGCCTGGTTATTAGTTACTAGGAATCTTCCTCTGTATGAAAGCTGTGGGAGAATCCACTTTTGGTTTTTGTCAGTAACCCACTCAACCGCTGTATCCCAGTCCTTACTGGGAAATACTTGTCATTTCAAAAATGGATTTCAACAAGGTTTAAAGCATGCATTTCCCCATGTTTTGTTAACTGAGGAGGTATTGCCAGTCTCATATCAGTAAACAATTAGATTTTTCCCAATTTGTACATGCAGACGCAGTGTTTCCTCTTGGATTTTTTTCCAGCTGTGGCGGCAGGCCACCAAATACCAACTACCTGGGGCGTTATTTCAATGACAAATGTCGTGAGCGCAGTATTAAAAGTCGAGATTGCATTTATGTAATAGCCTACGACATGCGGATCTCTTTGCTTGCGTGCCGATTTCCTCTGTTCGTGCACAAAACTTCTTGCATGCCACCTCAAATATAAGCCGCTTTAAGAGCCCGCAGATCTTTTTGTGCGCTCTCAAATAAACGCTGCTGAAGTGCCTTTATGTAACGAGTATGTCTCCAGCATTTATTAGATTTGCTAGAAATATTTATAAATGTCTCTAATAGACCTACAGAGCGATATTAATGCATCCTGAAGTAAAGTGAAATGGCTATTCGTCATGTTTGCTGGCCTCACACATCAATCACCTGTCAGTCAGTCAGTCAGCCAGTCAGCACTTAACCTTAAAGGGTTAAACAAATGATGCACAGCACTACTACGGTTACAAAAAAGTTTGCACTGTTATAATTTACTTACCTTTTTGGTGTGATTATTACCCGCTATTAAATATAGCAAATGTTTTGAATGAGAAGCTGTAATGTAGCTGTGGCGGAATGAATTTTGGCGTGGCGCTCCTCCATGGAAGAATGATTGTAGCTGAAACCATGAGACGTATCTTTTTGAAAAATACTCAAAACATAAAACTATATTCTCAACATCATTGGAATTCATGCTTATCAGAGTTACACCATCGGCATTTGATATTAGTTCTTTTTTGTGGGGAATTTTATTCCAACCAGTACCAATACCACATAGTCCTTTTTTTTCAACAGACCTAAAAAAGTTTCATTAGGAATAGCATAGCGTAAACCGGACAGCAGACATCCTTGTCTTAATCCCCTTGAGTTGCTGCTGGAAGGGCATCCCCTGCGTAAAACATATGCAGGCTAAGTTGGAGGTTCATTCTGCTGTGGCAACCCCTGATGAATAAATGAACTAAATGAATGCATTTTTTTTAATCTGTTGGGTAAAACGTTTTAAAAAATATTTTCGGAGATAAACACGCAATAAGACACATATTTATTTTGTAATGTTGTATTAATATGTTTCCCAAAATAAAATCTCAAATTCTTCCTGGAAAAGTCTCAAAACTGTAAAATAAAAAAATGCTTACATCAATTTGACATGAAAACAAAACCTTAAAGACTAACACCTAAAATTCACACTCTTGAATAGTTCATGTTTTACCTTGAAGGAAGATAAATACAGCTAATCCCTCGTCTACTGAAATAATGTGTCTGTCAATTTGATGGGTGCTTTTTGCTGTGGATCACTTAGGGGTGACCTTGAATAAAAATCAAAGATTTGATGCTTAGGACAAGCCTGATTTGACTGCCATCCTCTTAGTTGAATATTCTTACAGGAAACAAGAATAATACTATTTTGGCTATGTGGGGCTTCCTTAATGTCTGATTTCACATCCAGGGTTAGGTTAATTTTAGTTTAGAGATAGAGTTTCACATCACATCCTTTAAGTTAGTATATAGCCTCTTGTTGTATAATTATTGCTTGTAAAGATAAAGGTGAACTTTTAGTAAATCCAACCACTTGTTTAAGATTTAAGTTTCACTTTCCACCAGAGGAGCCATCTATAAGCAGCAGAGCTTTCAATCTTTCACAGTGTCTGTGGTAAGAAATAAATTTATCCTGAATTATGAAAGTGCAAACCCTCTTTAAAATTGTAAAAGATTAAGCGCAATTATGACACTAGCTCATGTGAAACAGTGGGTGAAATAAGTATTGAACACATCATCTTTTTCCTGGGAATAATATTTTTTAAAGGAGCTGTTGACATTGAATTGAACCAGATTTTGGTAAAAAAAAAAAATGCTTTAGGTGCGATAGTAGAAACGCGGCTATTGAGTACACGGTGCATGTTTGGCTAAAAAGTTTGCTGCACCAGTTTAGCATTATCTGCATTAAATAACATTCTGGCTATAGGTTACTTTAGAAATTGGTATAGTTTTTTTAATTATTATTTCATATATGTATTACTCATTGTTATCTTTTGAACTATTTTTGATTGACGTTTTTAATATTTTCCCTGCACTTTTTTTTATTAAAAAGATCAATATATGGATAGATTTTCTGTTTAAATATAATCCTTTAAATCTAATTTTAATGTATGTCTTCTGCACGTTGTTGCACTGCAAATGGTATTTATTTATTTATTGTTTGAATTGGCTTTACGGTGTATAAGCCTTTTCTTTTTTTAATATTCTTAGGTTACAGACAACTATTTCAGCCAGTTATCAAGCAGGTGGTAGACTTTTATCAGCCAACCTGTATTGTTCTTCAGGTGAGAACACCTTCTCTCAGTGAATCATTGTTAGATGTTGTTGCTTTTATTGCTCATCCTTTTTCTTTTGTTGTCAGTGTGGAGCAGATTCTTTGGGATGTGATCGATTAGGATGCTTTAATCTCAGCATACGAGGACATGGGTAGGAAAACACTGCACTTTCATATCTTTTAATCTATTTTTAATCATTTTTTGAACTACTTCCTAAAATACTTTGCATGTAAACCTGATAATTAAATCATGTTTTAAACTGTATTTCAGAGAATGTGTGGAGTTTGTGAAGGGCTTCAAAATTCCGCTGCTTGTTCTGGGTGGAGGAGGGTACACCGTGAGGAATGTGGCTAGATGTTGGTATGTTTGTTACTTTTTTGCTTTTTTCTAAGTGTGGATAATCTAATTGGATATTAAATTTAACTGAGAAATCATTCACTAAATAATGTATTATCTTAAATGCTAATAGTGTTCAGAAGACATCAAGAGTCTTTAGTAAATTTTTTGATTCAACAAAAATGTATGACACTCTTTTGTACACTTATTTATACACTTATCATCTGCATTAATAGTGCTAAACACATATAAAGTTGCACAGTTTATCAGTATAATGCAGAGTAAAATGTAAAATACTGAAAAAAAAATTATATTACCAGAAATGTTTTTTTCAGTATCGTAATTTTGTATTTTTCACTTGTTATCCTGTGTCACAACTATTAATGACTAATATTTCTATAATAACTTATCTCCTCAAAGTGACCATTGCAAATACATGGGTTGGACAATGAAACTCTGGCCAATTTAGTGTTGGAGGTTAAATTGACCAGCCTGGTGGACAATCTTCATTACTTGCACATTCCACTGGTAAGAGCAGAGTGTAATGGTTTAATTATCAGAGTGCTGGCACCATTTCACTGGCGGATTCACCAGCAATATGGGTGACATATCCGAGTTCAAAAGAGGACTGTTTGTGCACATCTTGCTGGCGCATCTGTGACTAAAGCCTTATTTATACTTGTACGTCAAGCACACGTGTATGCTACGGTGCAGCCCACTCGTGGACGCATAGCCCTCGCCAGGGCCGTCGGCGTCAATAACATGCACTTCTCAAAAAATGTAACTACACTTCACAATGACACGTAGCGCAAGCTCTGTGATTGGTAGGCTTGGTAGCGCTGACGAGTGTGGAAGGGACTGAGAGCCACGCGAGTCCATTGGAGCGAGTGTTTAAAAGTGTCAAATCTCGTGAAGAAGCTCCAGATGAAAAGTTTTGTTTTGTGTTTACCTTATGGTTAAAGTTGTTGCACGTCCACCAGTTCCTGCCTCAAAATAAGCGATTTTGAACCACTTTATTAACGTTAAAGGGGTGGTCTACTACGATATCATATTTTAAACTTTAGTTGATGTGTAATGTAGCTGTGTGAACATAAACAGCATCTCTGAATGTAAAATGCTCAAAGTTCAATGAAAAGGGAGACCTTGGTTTTTACAGAGTTAGCTTAGCAAAGCCTACAATGAACTAATTTTGGGGACTACAAAAAAATACTATCAGGCCTGTGAGATCACAAAAGTACTTTTACCGCGCGCACACACTGCGCAGCTAAGGGGCGTGGCCAGAGGCACTGTAACATTACAGCAGAGAGAGCCAAAATGCCGTCCAAACCCTGCTATTTTCACAGAGCTTCTTCTGTTTCTGTATTTGGTCTTCCAAGGGACACGACACAAAGACAGAAGTGCTTACAGTTCAATATTAATTATGTTCCAGAGAATTATAAATAAAATACATAGCAAGCATGATTTGACAAAACACAGCTACCAAATTCTCTCCCAGTTCACTGCTGGATTCGGTTAAAATTTCCTTAAAGGAGCAGCTCTAACGAGCAGAAGCTGTGGACTCGCAACCTGTAAGTGTATTTATTTATTAAAACTGATCATGACATGTACAGAGTCTAGCATTAACGGTATCCTGTACAGAGTCTAGCATTAACGGTATGCTGTAGCAAAGATGTAAACGATGGGAAATGCTGTTTGGCACCGCAAACGATTTAGCTACAAATTGATATTTATCAGTCAAACCGCTGTAAAAACACACACACACACACACACACACACACACACACACACACACACTCTTTACCAGTGCATGCAGCATCTCTCTATGCATGCGTGCGCCGAGGGTCACGCTAATCAGTCAATGCAGAAGTACAGTTGAAGTCAGAATTATTAGCCCCCTGTTTATGTTTTTCCCCAATTTCTGTGTAATGGAGAGAAGATTTTTTTCTACACTTTTCTAAACAGAATAGTTTTAGTAACTTTTTTAGATTTCTAATAACTGATTTATTTTATCTTTGCCAAGATGACAGTAAATAATATTTTACTTGATATTTTTCAAGACACTTCTATACAGCCTAAAGGGACATTTAAAGGCTTAACTGGGTTAATTAGGTTAACTAGGCAGGTTAGGGTAATTAGGCAAGTTATTGTATAATGATGGTTTGTTCTGTAGATTATAAAGAAAAAATATAGCTTAAAGGGGCTAATAATTTTGTCCCTAAAGTGGTGTTTAAAAAAAATAAAAAATGCTTGTATTATAGCCGAAATAAAACAAATAAGACTTTCCCCAGAAGAAAAAAATATTATCAGACATAATGTGAAAATTTCCTTGCTCTGTTAAACATCATTTGGGAAACATTTAAGATAGAAAAAAAATCATAGGGGGGCTAATAATTCTGATTTCAACTGTATAAACCAGGGTTAAGACAGCAAGTCTTTGTGATGTATCAAGAGCTACGGTTTCCAGGCTACTGTCAGCATACCACCAAGAAAGATGAACTACATCCAACCGGAGTAACTAGAAGCAAGAGGAATCTGTCTGTAAGGAATGTCCGGGTGCCAACCCAGATTGTATCCAAAAAAAAAAGAATAGAACCACAGCAGCCCAACTCACTGCAGAATAAAATGGTTATCTCAACTATGCTGTTTCCACCAAAACTGTTAGTTGCTATAGTCAAACCTTTGGTCACTTGTGCTAGTGACAAATGTCAGTTTCAAAAATTTTACGCTCTGGACGATTTAAAATATGTAGTTTTCTGATGAGTCTACCTTCACTGTCTTTCCCACACCTGGGAGAGTTATGGTGTTGAGAAGCCTTAAAGATACGTACCACCCAGACTGTTGCATGCCCTGAGTGAAGCATGAGGTGGATCAGTGATGTTTTGGGGTGCAGTATCATGGCATTCCCTAGGCCCAATACTTGTGTTAGATGGGAGCGTCAATGTCAAGGACTACCGAAACATTCTGGAGAACCATGTGCATCCAGTGGTTCAAACATTGTATCCTGAAAGCAGTGCCATGTATCAGGATGATGATGCACCAACACAAAGGTTTGATGAACCTGAAAGTAAAGTTGAACATCTCCTGTGCACAGTCACCAGATCTAAATATTATTGAGTGTTTCGGAGAAGCTAGCCAGGACACGTCTTCATCTACCAGCATCAAGTAGTGACTTTGCCACTATTTTGTCAGAAGAATGGCTCAAAATCCCTCTGGCTACTGTGCAGGACTTCTGCCTGTAATTCCCAAGAGGAACTGATGCTGTATTGGCCACAAAAGGAGGACCTACAGCATACTAATAAATTATTGTGGTCTAAAACCAGGCGTTTCATTGTATAACCCCTGTACATAACCTTCACCAATGGACTTTGAAAAGGATATTGGTGAATTGACTCAGATGGTCACTGTTCCTTTGGAAAGCATCACTACAAATGCCTCTAAAACCTTTTTAATCATTCTATTTTCACTTGTTTTTTTTTTCAGGACATTTGAAACATCATTGCTTGTTGAGGAGTCAATTAGTGATGAACTTCCATATAGTGGTAAGTCATTAACTGTGTTGCATAAAGAAAAGACATCAATAATTATTTGTTTTTGCATTTACATATTATGTAGTGCTGAGGATCTGTTCTAATCTTTGCTACTTCTAAGGGTGAATATTGCTCACAACACATTGTGTGTTGCAGGTGAGTTCTAATAGAGCTACAAACAAAAGTTAAAAGTGTTAATAACTTTAAAAATATATAAATAAATAATCAAATAAATAAATAAATTGTGGTTTCTTAATAAGAGGCTTAATAACAGCTAGCTTTAAAGCGTTTTGGAACGTGGACTAGAGATAAAGAAGAGTTAACATTAAGAAAAGGTTCTCTCAATTAAGCTGATGAATTTATTAGGCAGGTGATGGTGGGTGGACCATGTCAATATTTTTTCAAATCCCTGTATAAAATCAAAATATCTGTAGCTTGAAACAGATGGAAAGTGACAGTTTTCTGCTGGTGTTTTTGGAGATCCCAGTTTAGCTGCCATTACAGCCCATAGTTTTTTTTTTTTTTTTTTTTTTTTTTTTTTTTTTTTTAACGAGCACAGGTCATGTGAATGAAAACTATCAATAGGCAACCATAGAAAACATTGTAACACTAAATCATGAGTCACTGACCAGCAAGAAAACTTTATAGTACTTCATAATGCTTAAACTCCCAAATTAAAAACTTTTTTGAAATGGTATTATATCTAGTACAAGCACGGTGGTTAAGGGGTTAGCACTGTTACCTCACAGACATGGACTGTAGGTGAATTGGTTAAATAAAATTGGCCGTAGTGTATGTGAGTTTTCCAGTACTGAGTTACAGCTGGAAGTGCATCTGCTGTGTAAAACATGTTTAGTATGCCGGAATAGTTGGTGGTTCATTCTGCTGTGGCAACCTCTGATAAATAAGGGACTAAGCCAAAGGAAAATGAATGAGTGCATCTAGCGCGTTTTCAGTTGTATAACAAGCAAAACTTGTCATAATGTGCAATATTTCATGCATGCAAGGATTTTCACAATGTCAGTGTGCTTATCTCTATAGAGATCAGGAGAAACAAGCACTTTGTGCAATGTAAGCGTAGTGGTCGACAAAGGCCAGCAGTGTACATAAATAATACTAATTGCTGAACATTTCCTCATTAGCACCCAAAAGAGAGCTATTTACTTGTGTCAGTACTAAATAAAAAATTTAGTATAATCTCTTCGATTTTGATAAAACAATAATAAACATTTTGCAGATTCTGCAAGGTGTTTGTAAACATTTGATGTCGACTGTATATCCAGCCTGATCTCACGATGAAACGTAACTATTGTAGGTTTTATCAGTTTAGTGGCTAATTTGTATGAATTCAGTAGTACGAAAATGTACGATTTTAAAAAGGAGGCATGGCATCTAACCCCATCCTTATACCCAACCGTCATTAGAGGTTAAGAAAATCGTACTAGAGCATACAGATTTGTATGGATTAGCCACTAAATAGAAAGGTCCTTGGTGTACACAACCTCCGATCTGCTTTAAAAGTATCCTATAGTACGTAGTTGTTGTTGTTGTTTTTTTCATTTCTGTTTTTTTTTCTTCTGCACAGAATACTTTGAATATTTTGCTCCAGACTTCACACTTCATCCAGATGTCAGCACAAGGATAGAAAACCAAAATTCTAGACAAGTATGTATAATTTTCCTTTTTGTTTCTTTGTGTCTTTACATTTATGATAGGTTTGGATTACCATGTACAGTGGGACTAATGGACCTGATACCACATTCAAAGAAATGATCTAAACCCAGAAATTATCTAAATATATTAAGAAATGATGTAAACGAATATAATAAATAATAATATGATAAAATAAAACAATGCAAAACCAACAGTTTAAAAGAGAATTAGAATGTTTCATGTTCTGCGCTTACTATTTTTGTCACTGTGATGTTCACTGACCTCCACTTATATTGGCGGCCTTGGTAAATATGAGCTAAGAAGACAATCATTTTTCAAACCCTCTAATAATTTGGCCAAAATATTAACTATTAAATCGTCTTTCTCACTGACAATAAACAATTGTGAGAACAACACAGTTTTGACAAACATATAATAATGTTGAACCTTTCACAGAATTTTTGGTGTTTCTGCCTAACCTTTGTGTTCCTATCCGAACATGCTGCACAACTGTCCAAGCCCTTGTTCTCTCCAGGCTGAACTATTGCAATGCTCTCTTGACTTTCCTCTCAAACTACACAATCAAGCCAAAAAAAGCTATACATGTACAAAGATTAATATGTTTTATTTTAATTTGACAATTGTTTGTACAATTCTTTGCCCATAGGGAAATGAGAGGCTTGTTTTACCACATGAATCGAGCCAGAGTTTGTGTGAGTAATATTTGTGGTCTCAATGACACCTTGTGGTGCTCAAATAAAACACAAGCTTATAATATGTGCTGGGTGATAGTGTGGGAAGAATGGATCTCAAGGAAAGGAGTTCCATGATCTGCCGCTGCAGAGCGTGGACTGTGGTGAAGTTCTCTGGCACATAATGAGCATTCCTTGTAGAGGGCAGTCGTGTTCAATCTCATTTATAAGCAAGGGTGCGCATAATATTTTTGTCTGTTTCTAATAGAAATACCTGGCTATTCTGTTGTTTGGTCCTCACTCTGTTTATGGCACAGCCATTGTGTATATTTAAATACATAAAACATATATATGTTTATAAACCTACACTCACCGGACACTTTATTAGGTACATTTGCTGGTACCGGGTTGGACCCTCTTTTGCCTTCAGATCTGACTTATTCCTTCCTGGCATAGATTCAACAACTGGAAATATTCCTCAGAGATTTTGGTCGATATTGCATATTTGTTGGCTGCACATGTATGATGCAAATCTCCTGTCCATCACATCCCAAATGTGCTATATTGGATTGAGATCTTGTGACTGTAGAGCCCATTTGAGTACAGTGAACTCATTGTCATGTTCAAGAAACCAGTCTGAGATGATTCGTGCTTTATGACATAGTGTGTTACTATGCTGGAAGTAGCCATCAGAAGATGTGTACACTGTGGTCATAAAGGTGTGGACATTGTCAACAACACTCAGGTAGGCTGTGGCATTGACAAAATGCTGAATTGGTATTAATGGGCCCAAAGTGTGTCAAGAAAATATTTCCCACATGATTACACCACCAGCCTAAACCCTTGATACAAGATAAGATGGATCCATGCTTTCATGTTGTTGACACCAAAATTCTGACCCTATCATTCAAATGTTACAGCAGAAATCGAGGCTCATCATACCAGGCAACACAATTTTGGTGAGCCTATGCAAATTGTAGCCTCAGTTCCCTGTTCTTAGCTGACAGGAGTGGCACCCGGTGTGGTCTTCTGCTGCTTGTAGCCCATTCGCCTCAAGGTTTTACGTGTTGTGCGTTCAGAGATACTCTTCGGAATACCTTTTCAATTTAGTGTTGGTGAGTTCATGGCTAATTTTAGTGGGCAATTTTGGAAAATTGCAGAATTTAATATGCATCCCAACTTTTCTGTTTCCACCGAAACTGTTCAATAGGAACTCCACAGTCTAAACATACATGGCTGGGCTGCTCTAGTCAAACTTTTGGTCACTCATGCCAATGCCAAACACCTGTTTCAATGGTGCCAGCATTGTACATTTTGGGCTGTGGACAATGTGGAATATTTATTGTTCTCTGATAAGTTCACCTTCACTGTCTATCGTACATGCAGGAGAGTGTAAAGAAGCCCCAAAGAAACATAATGGCTCAAAATTCCTTTGGGCCCTATGCAGGACTTATGTCTGTCATTCCCAAGACAAAGGGATGCTCTATTGGTTGCAAACGGAGGCCCTTTATCATACTAATTAATTATTGTGCTTTATTTTTATTGTGGTTTATTTTATTTGTAGCTGTATTTAAAAACTGCTTGATAATGTCTTAATGTAAAGCTAATGCTAAAATCATGAACTAATAAATTGCTAATGTTTAGTAAATGATTCATAGTGTGAGGTTTTATACAGTGTTACCTTAATGCCCTTTAAGCTTAGAAGATTTTTTCCAATCAGATGTTGTTTTAGGTAAATGTTTGGTAAATGTTTTATATGTATATGCAGTATTGTCTTTAGCAGTAAGGTCAGTAGTGAATACATTAACTTATTTTGTTGTTCTTGTTGTTTTCTAGTATTTGGAACAAATTCGTCAAACTGTGTTTGAAAATTTGAAGATGTTGAATCATGCACCAAGTGTCCAGATCCACGACGTTCCCTCTGATTTGCTGAGCTACGAGCGACCAGACGAGGCTGATCCTGAAGAGAGAGGATCAGAAGAGAACTTTTCTAGGTGAAAATATCTAACTTTATCACTTGTAGTCATGTGTTTGGCATCTGTGAGATGTTTTACATTTTTTTAAACACATTTAACAAGTTTCCTAAACTCTTAACGCACTTAAACACCTAAAACACATAATTTGTCAAAACGGTTAATTTTATGGTCAAAATCACACATTGTAAACTAAATCCCAAAACCAATGTTTAAAATACAATAATAAACTAGCACAATACATCATGTCTAACAAAACACTGCAAACATGTTTCAAAATCAATTCATTATTCAAAACACTATCACATGTTCTCTTCTAACAGGAACATTTAGTCGATCATAACACATTGACAAAAGAACACTATCATCTGCTGAAATGACAGAGACTGCATTATTTCATGTGTCAGGTCTGCCATTATTTTTGAAGCCTGTCTACGTTTTTGTGTTGTTGGATTTAATAAATGCATTTTGTTTCTTTTGCTGCAGAAATTCAATACAAAAAATTAATGACCAACACGTAGCTTTATAAAATGTACAGTTTATGTAAAAAAAAGACAAAAAATTGTTGCAGTACAGACTTTATTTGCAAAAGGATATTACTGCGAGATATACAAACAGAAAAAGCACTGCAACTATTATTTCAAATAATTCTGACTGGTCTTCTGCATTTGCCTGGCTTTTTTGGCCCGGCACAATATGTGTGTATGTATGTTTCTCCCACAGCGACGTCTTTTTGCCAAGTTGAAGCCAGCCTCGTCACCATAGATAATTTAATATACACACACAGTTGAAGTCAGAATTATTAGCCCCCGTTTATTTTTTTCTCCCAAATTTCTGTTTAGCGGAAAGAAGATTTTTTTTTTTTTCCAACACATTTCTAAACATTATAGTTTTAATAACTGATCTCTAATAACTGATGTATTTTATTTTTTCCATGATGACTAAATAATATCTAGTAAATAATATTTTACTAAATAATTTTCAAGACACTTCTATACAGCCTAAAGTGACATTTAAAGGTTTAATTTGGTTAACTATTCAGGTTAGGGTAATTAGGCAAACAATTGTGTAACAATAGTTTGTTCTGTAGCTTAAAGGGGCTAATCATTTTTTCCTTAAAATGGTGTTAAAAAATAAATAACTGCTTTTATTCTAGCCGAAATAAAACAAATAAAACTCCAGAAGAAAAAATATTATCAGACATACTGTAAACATTTTCTTGCTCTGTCGAACATAATTTGGGAAATATTTAAAAAAAATAAAAAATAAGTGTGTACAGTGTGAATACATACAAAAAATACAGTGATAAAGCATTTGTAAAGGTGACTGAAATTACATTGTTTTGGTCTTGGTTGAGCTTGTGTGTAAAAAAGGTTTTTGTATCAAAGCAACAAGAAATGGGTTAATTGTATAGCCTACAAAGACAGATGATATGCTAACCATGTTAAGTGTTTAGGAAACTTGTTAAATGTATTGAGGAAACTGTCATAGCCATTGTAAAAAAAGTGAAAAAAAAAGAGTATTAAAAGCAGTAATTCTAACCATTGTGGTTCAGTTAACAATAAAAACTACAAAGTTGTTATCATCATTTGTGGGTAATGATTATTATTATGTGTTAAAGTTGTTCTGCCTACATTTTTGAGGAAATTGTTTTGCAGCTCCCCCAATTTTGATGAATAGAAAGCTACAGGATAGAACAGCCTTTACCTCCATTAGTTTAGTAGTAAATGTTGAGTACATTTGATTTATTCTTTAAATATATATTTAGCAACTTACTCGCATAAAAAAATCTAAATTCAAAATCCACAGTTTGTCAGTGAACAAAAGAGATTGATCCTGAAGAGATGAGAACTAATGCCTGCTGCTTGGCTGTATGTTGAATATCCTGACCTTGTTTATTAAACTATTTGCACAACTTCTGTTTCATCACAGACCTGAAGCTGCGAATGAATTTTATGATGGTGACCATGATCATGATAAAGAAAGTGATGTGGAGATCTGAAGACTTTTTTGTGCAGTGTACCTGTCTTTGGTCTTCAGCCATGAAGGTGTCCATTCCTTGCAGTATCTACAGTACTTGACTGTGATGTGTGGGTAAAAGCCAATCATTTTTTTAACATGTCGAAATTGTGTAGTTCACCATATGTAGGTCTTTATATTGTATTTTTCTGTTTATCAAATTTTAAGTAAAAAAGGGAACTTTACAATGAGTCCTGCAAGCAGCTTCTGCTGCATTTGTATTCAGAGGGTTCAACAATAATGTGATGAATGATGGCTTTGTGTGCCTAATATCAAAAATAAGTGTTTTGATTTAGAGAAAATAAAATCTATTTGAAATGAGCCCTTCTATCTAAAACATCTATTTACACAGTCTGACCCTAAGAACTATCTAAAATGTGGCGGATCACCAGTGCTGTTTGTTATTTTAATTATTTGGCAGCTGTCTTGTTTTGTTGTATTTTGTTATAGTATGTCTCATAGTTTGAGTTTTGTATGTTAAGAATATGACATGGTGGAGGAAACAACTAGGAGATAAATGTATAATATTTTCACAAAAATGTTATTCAAAATTTCATGTCACAACTCACAACATATAACACATTTTTTTGTATTCTCAACTGTAATAAAAACATTTTACAAAATGTTTTGTTCTTGTAAAAAAAATTAAACAAATCTTATATTCTGTGTCAGGGGTTTTTCCTGCAGAAAAAATTACGTTGGCTTCACCTTTTAAACAAAATCACAAGTGGTCAGTTATGGCTACTGACAGACTTCAAGTAATGTTCAAGAACTAGTTGTTGGTGTCTCCTTAATCTGCCTTAAGTGTTGATGGTCAGATAAAGACACCTAGGCTTCCAAAGTTTTGGAAACTTTTGGAAAGCAGAACTTGCTGACAGTAGTCATGTCTCCCTCCAAAACTGGAATATCACATTAATGATTTGTGAATAACGCACCATTTCCATCCAATGAGTCAAACAAAAAATCTTCACTTACTGTTAAACTTTTGACAAATATCAAAAAGAAAAATGGAATATGCTGTGTAGGAAAAGCTGCGCGAGTCTTTTCCTTATTCAATAGATGAAATATTAACCTACATCATACATGACGTCACACGGGTCCACGGCTGCACAAAAAGACCAACTGCAATAGCAAACGTGGTGTTGTGCAGTAGGATGCCAATTTCGAAAATATCCAAAAATAGAAAACTTAACTTTTATTTAGTGATGGGCAAAGCGAGGCTTCATGAAACCCTGAAACAGTCTACACAAATGTGTCGAAGCTTCGAAACGTTTCGAAACCCCACTCTACAGTGACACCCAGTGGTCATTTTTTATTGTATTGCACTGAAACAGCTTCAGCAAAGAACAGTTGAGCAAATTAAGGTATTAAACCCCACTTTGCAGACATGAACATTTAATTGATATAGTGGAGTGGTTAAGGTTTCCGTTTACCATGCTGGGATAGTGGGTTCGAATCCAGTCTGATACAGCTATTTTGAAAGGCTTTAGTACAAATTGGTAATGCTTTGGTCTTGTATTGTTTTGTTTCAACATTGGTCTGACATCCGAATAAACACTTTGTGAATAAATTTGTTGTGGCCAGAAGTTAACAAGAATTATTTATATTATTCATTACATTTCCCATTTATTGTATTTTAATAACGTCTAGCCAAACCCTAAATCCAACCATAACAGTACTGTAAAAATATTAATTATTGTTTTACAGTGTTGCAAAAATGATGCCAAATTGACGGCGTATCCGCAGCTGTATCCTATTTAGACTACACAATAAAACAGAAACATGATTAAAATACATAAAACCATGATTTCGGAGTATTTGTACAAGTTATGATTCGAACCCAAAAGTCATTTGAAGCTCAGTAACAGCGTGCACATGCTCAGTCCACTAGGCCATATGAAACAAAATGTACTTCTAAACCTAGTAGTCAAATGCAGATTCGCCGTGTCTCGAGACGCTTCTAAATTGATCGATGCTTTAAATCGCTTTAGTCACGTAACCAGGTGTTTCGAAGCACTTTAGTCACGTGACGTGTGTTTCGGATCATGCTTCGGTGCAGTGTTTCGAAACACTTGTGCTTCGGGATCTTGACACTGTGTCGAAAGTAAGTTTCACATCAGCCATCCCTACTTTTATTGTACACCACACTGCTTTAATGCCAACTGCAGACGTCATTGGCTAAAAGCGAGCTGAATGAAATGACGACCTAATTAGAAATGCTGGACTCTGCAGTTCTCATGTTTTATCAGGTAAGTTCAGCTATGCTGAATCATACACATTACTCATTTTTGATTGCAGCAACGATTTTAGCAAAAACAGTTAAATATGGTTAAATAAACTGTGGACACTGAATGCTAAGAATGAAATGTGAAAATGTAAGTTATTAAGGTAAACTTGGTGTTATATTCACACATTCATTCAGTGACAACTTGTGACACTCTCCCTATATTGTTTACCACAACGCTGAATATTCAGTCTGAAAAAACCTGCAAGTGTGACTTGAAAACAACATTAACACTTTATTTGGCTGTGAACAATGTTGTTCTTTAATAGTCATTGGCTGCTATTATGATTTCGCTATTTAGAGTTTGCAAACAATACTTTTATGAAATTATATTATTAAGGAGAAAGTCTGAATGTGTGAATATAAAACCAACTTTACTTTTATGTGTAAGTTCACATACCCTGCCATACAGGTGTAGTTCGCTGTCAGAATGCAGTTGTTTTGCTTGTTGATGATTAATTACCCAGGCCTTGTACAGCTCTGTCTTCTTTCCTGTCTTTGGCTAGGCAAAACCTCAGTTTTTAGCACAACATAGTGTTGAATCTGGTAATCATAGAACATTTTTTGCACATGATTAAAGACTTGTAGGCCTTTAACTTCTCTTTTGTAAAATAACTTGGAGCTTCAATAAGATTGTATATTTGGGGCTGGATGCTTGGCCATTTTGTCTCGTCCAATATCCATTGGGAGTGTGCTATCGCAAATGGACCTGTCAGACGAGCACCACTCACTTAAACATTAATTTTGCCGAATCACTGTGCTCATCACTGGGTGACGAGCTGTTCTAATACGCTGAAAGCATTATGTAAATATGTATATGTAATCAATATATCTTATTTCTAAGACGGTAAACTCTGTACCGCATCAGATGTCATTCTCTCGCTGTAAATGCTAGCGCTCCTGTTTTGTTACTGCCCCCTCCCTGCGCGCGCATCCTGAATGTTTACAAACATGGTAATTCATTTCTAAGTTTATCCTAAATGCTCATCAAAATAGATGTATGGAAACATGGCTAGTGAGGTTTAATCAAGACAGGCTTAATGGAAATATGAGCGATTATTATTAATCGATATTATATGCGATTAATTACATTAAAAATACTTGTAATTTTGGCTATTCAATTGTAAAATTAATGTATACGCAACACAAATAATATTTAAATTCAAAATATAATTGTTTATTAGAATTTGTGTTTAACTTGTAACACAGATGTCTTCATATAAACAACATACCCACAATAAAACATCAAGATCCTGGCCTGACAGCCATATTTATTGCAGAAATTAAAACACAGGCATGTTAATGCCATTTAAATTACAAAACAATCAATGCCAATAAAGAAAAAAAAAATTCTCATTTTGGATTCTAAGTGGACTGCAAAAAATGCCAAAATACAGGCATTGCAAATATGGAAAATGGAAAATTAAATTAATAATAATATTGAATACAAACAATTATACTCATTGAAATGTTGTATTGCTGTGAGTTGAGAACATTAATTATCAAGCAGAAAATTTTTGCTTAGTCCTTCTTTACATTCAGACAGTTGCTTAAACAGTCCAGACTGTTGACATTATCGGGGGACAATGTGGACCTTTTCTTTTGAATGATGTGAGCTGAGAGTGCAACATAATCTCACGGCAATTTGTAACTTTTTGATTTAGTGGCTACGGACAATGACATTAAGGCAGGTTTGTTGCTGGTAGGTTTGTCTCACGCGCGCTCACACACACACACACACACACCCACTCCACGCAGGACAGGGCAGCCGGAGCAACTCCCTTCAGATTCAATTCAATTCAATTTTTTTCAATTCAGCTTTATTTGTATAGCGCTTTTACAATGTAGATTGTGTCAAAGCAGCTTCACATAAATGGTCATAGTAACTGGAACAGTGTGGTTCAGGTTTTAGTGTTTAAGTTCAGTACAGTTCAGTTTAGCTCAGTTCAGTGTGATTTAATCATTACTGAGAGTTCAAACACTGAAGAGCAAACTCATCGATGCGTAGCTCTACCAATCCTGAACCATGCGAGGCAGTGGCGACAGCGGAGAGGGAAAAAAAACTTCACCTGATAGGAGTGAAGAAAAAAACCTTGAGAACCAGACTCAGTTGGGCACGACCATTTTAATTTCTCCGCTGGCCAAAAGTCTTGTGCAGAGCTTCATTCGCCGTGGTTGAGGCTGGAAGATGGCCTCAGCGAAGACTCGTCTGTCCCTGGAGCGTCGCTGGAATCAGACTCATGCTCTCCACTCCCCACGACCATCAGCGCAGCAGCAGCTCAGGATATGGCCTGGTCCCGGATATGGAATCCTTGGGATCATCTCGTCGCTGGTCTTGGATCCAATCAGTGACTCCGAATAATCTGAGAACCTCGTTATGAGTATCCCCAGGTGAAAATAGAGAATAAAGAAAATAATTAGCGTAGCTGCTGTTCATAGTGTATATAAACAAGATGCAGAAGCCTGTGTGGAACCCGCTAGGTGATGCATTGAGTGTATGCTTTACTAAACAGATAGGTCTTTAATCTAGTTTTGAACTGGGAGAATGTGTCTGAGCCTCGGACGTTATCAGGAAGGCTATTCCAGAGTGTAGGAGCCATGAAAGAGAAGGCTCGACCTCCTTTACTTGATTTTGCTATTCTAGGTACTACCAGAAGCCCTGAATTTTGAGATCTTAAAGAGCGAGTTGGTTTGTAGCGAGACAGAAGGTTGGTTAGATAAACAGGAGCTAGATTATTTAGAGCTTTATAGGTGAGAAGTAATATTTTAAAGTCAATACGAAACTTAACAGGCAGCCAGTGTAAGGAGGATAAAATTGGGGTGATATGATCATATTTTCTAGACCTGGTAAGAACTCTGGCTACTGCATTTTGTACTAATTGAAGTTTGTTAATAGAGGATGCTGGGCAGCCAGCAAATAGAGCATTACAGTAATCCAGCCTCGAAGTCATAAAAGCATGGTCTAGCTTTTCTGCATCTTAGATGGATAGCATATTTCGTAATTTAGTGATATTTCTCAGATGAAAGAAGGCAGTTTTTGTGACATGGGATATATGGTTTTTAAAAGTTAGATTACTGTCTAATATGACACCCAGATCTTTTATAGTAGAGCTAAAACTAACTTTGTATCCTTCTAATTGTAAATTAAGTTGCGAGATCTGCTGTGTGCGAGATTTAGGCCCAATAAGTAATAATTCTGTTTTGTCGGAGTTTAAGAGAAGAAAATTGTTGGTCATCCAGTCTTTAATGTCTTTGATACACTCAGTTAGTTTAGAAAGTTCAGACGTCTCGTCAGGTTTAGTTGAAATATATAATTGAGTATCATCTGCATAGCAGTGA